GCCGCGTGGAGCAACAGAGGTTATCACAGCCACCGGCGCGAACAAGCTCAAGGCGCAAAAGAATTTATCGCTGTATTTGTATTCCGCTCCTCACCCAAGCACCCCCATGCTCAGCACGTAGCCGAGTGTGGCGACGAGTAGCCCGGCGAGCGCGGTGGCGGGGATGCCCATGGCGAGGAAGTGGGCGGCGGATAGGTAGGCGTTGCCGAGGTCGTCCTCCGCGGTGAGCGAGTTGAGGTTGGGGAAGGAGGAGACGGGCAGCGCCATCGCGGCCGAGCAGGCGAGCGCGCAGCAAAAGACGAGCGGTGCGGGCTGGCCTGCATGCACGCCGATGGTGGCAACGAGGGGCAAGACAATGATGGCGGCGACGGTATGCGAGACGAAGTTGCCGACAAGGAGGATGCCGCCGACGAGGATGTTGGTGAGCAGGTAGTGGGGCGTGTCCGTGCCGAGCACGTGGAAGGCGTGGTCCGCGATGAGCTGCAGCAAGCCCGACTCCTGGCTGGGCGCGTCCGGGGCAGGTTAGCGGGTGTTGCGAGGTGGGGTTCGGGTATCAGCTGCGGCTCCTGCACGGCGAGGCCGAGCGCGTTGCCGCCCGCGATCAGCGTGAGCAGGTGCCACGGCATTGAGTTGTAATCGTCCTACACAGCAGTCGCGACATGCTGGTTCTCAGTTGATCGCGTCACGCCACGGCGGCGAGCTCGACGAAGCCTTGTCGAGGAAGCCCGAGCCAAAGGCAAAGGCGACGAGGGCGACACCGACGATGGCGGGGTCCCCAAACGTGGCCTTGAGAGGTGGGGCGGAGAGGAAGGCCCAGAGGGTGACCGCCACCGCGACTGCGGCGAGGGCGAGCTTCTTCTTCCGCGTGAGCGGCGCCTCGGAGAAGACGACCTTGGGCAGCGCGGCGCAGTCGTCGGGCCGCACGAGGAGGAGGAGCATCAGCCAGATGCCCGCCGTCCCAAAGATCGCAATCGGCCCTGCGACCAGCATCCACTGCAAAAAAGAGACGTCGATGCCGACAAACTGCTGCAGCGAGACGAGCGCGATCGCGTTCTGCGGCGAAGCGATCGGCGTGATCATTCCGCCAAGGTTGCAGGAGAAGGCGAGGCCGAGCAGCAGAGCGCGCGAGAAGCGCGAGTCGGAGGGCAACTCCTACGCCCAACATCCCGAAATCAGCCAAAGCCAGCCAGGTCAGCTAAAGGCGAGGATGGTGGCTCCTGCAGCAGCGGCTGCACGACGGCGAGCAGGAGTACGGGCGCGGTGACATTGGAGATGCCGGCCGAGAGGAGGAGGCCTGGTGTGATGATGAGATGATTATCCCTAGACCAGGCGGATGCGGAACGAGGCCGAGGGCGGAGTGTAGAGTTAGCCTCATCCCGATCTGGTTCACTCACCGAGCATCATCACGGCGAGGATGAATAGCCGCGGCTGCTCGCCCAGCCTTTGCTGCAGCGCTGCGGCGAGACGCAGCTCAAGCTGGCAGCGCGCAACAACCCGCGCGGCGACCAGGCCCGAGAGGACGAGGAGGATCACGGCCTACCAGCAGTCGGGCAATCGACGCCCCCCGTGAGCAGTGGTCGCTGGGAGGAGAAGGGGAGGATTGCGCGCGTTGAACATCGCGTTGAGCACGCGCTTGGCGATCAGTGCGGGCGTCTCGAGCTCGCCGTTGACCATCTTGGGCGGCATGGCGCCCCACGTGACGACGAGGACGGGCACGAGCAACGCGGTCGCGAAGAAGGGGATCGCCTTGCAGAGACGTTGGGTTCGTCGTGGTTGTTCGCGGGTGGAGTCGGAGTTGGGCGAGGATTGGGAGCGGGTTGGGTCGGGAGGGGGAGGGTGTCACCTCAGAGAGCCAGAGGCCGACTATCGCAAGCAGAACGCCGAGGCATCGCTGCGGCTCGGGTTTGTCATGGAAGGCCTCGAGCGGGAAGAAGGCGACGACGAGGCCGACGCCGAGCGAGCCAAAGAGGGGGACGAGCTTGTAGGTGTGGTGACCGACCGTACCGCTCGCGTGTTTGAGCGAATCTTTCGCCATCTGACGCAGCTGTGGCACTCTGTCGGGCAATAAGTTCTCGATTTCCTTCACCTGCGAAGCAAGTCCAACCCGTCATCAAGAGCCTTGGCCCCATTCACGAATCAACTCTCCGTCCTCCATACCATGTCGTCGACACGGGCCTGGCACGCGGTGAAGGGCTCCGCCTTGATCCGCTTCATCACAAGCGGCAGCTGCTTCGTCGTTCCAGGTGGCATCGACTTGTCGTACTTCTTCACGATTTTTCGCACGGCGGTCGTGTTGAGCGAGAGGAAGGAGCGGAGCTTGCCGAGCCGGCAGTAGAGCGCGGCAACTTCGTCAAAGGAGAGGACTCCCATGGACGCCCGGTGGCCGACGGCCACGTCCGGCATCGACCTGCGCTGTTCGCCTGCGGTCGCGAGAGCGACGCTCTTCTCAAGTGAAGCGGTCTCGGGCTCGGCGAGCTCGTTCATCCGCTTCAGGTCCTCGTTGAGGTAGGCGAAGAATATTGACTCGACCTCAGCGTACGGACCCGGCAGCAGTGGCGCGCCGAGATCGTCCGACGAGCGGAAGTTACTCGTCATTGACTCCATCGGCGAGAAGGAGCCGGAGGACTGCGCATTTGGGAGCCGCTCAAGCAGCCGCTTGAGGCGCTCGTAGCCGAGGTACGACTCGCGCCATTCTGGGATGGCGCGGAGGAGGAGGACACGGCCATACTGGACCATTGAGATAGCGTGTGCACTTGTTGAGATAGGTGCCCTGGTGAGTGTGTGTGTGTGTGTGTGTGCGCCCTGGGTCTGCGGTCGCGGGGGACGCGCGAATAATGCTAATGTTTGACTTGCAATTAACAAGAAGATATACCGCTGTACGTCGTCTGAAAAATCGCAGAAAATTCCTCGACGTCCCGGAATGAAACTGGGGGGAAATGCGCGAATTCCCTCTACAAACATTAGTACGGCGCGCGTCCCCGAGCGGTGTATGTCGTCGCATTGCTCCCCGCGGTCCTACCCTCGCACGCTTGAGGGCATCCTGCGGCGCGAGGAACGCCATCACTTTGCAGAGCGCTTCTTCCGTCAGGCACGCGAGACATTCCTCGGGCACCACTGCACTCCGTGCAGCTCGCCACTGCCACCACCGCCTCCTGCAGGTTGCTCCGCGCTACGTGTACGGCGTGAACAAGTATTACTTCCTGCTTGGAGACCTCGTTCGCCGCGGCCTAGGCCACGAGCTGACGGCAGCTCAATGTCCCAGATTAGAGGTGAGACCGCCGTTGCAATGCTGACGCCACGCATACCAACGCAGGTGCGCGCCCTCGCGCGAGTGCAGTCGCGGATTTCGGCCGAGTTCGGCGGCCGGTTCATCATCGTGAGCGACTTCTACTCGTGGCGCACGCAAGGGGTGGTGCCTTTCCAGCGGTGGCACCAGGACGGGGCCTTTTGGACGACAGAGAGCTGCGGCTCGGGCTTCAACCTGTGGCTGGTCCTAGCGTCAGGCGGCGGCCACAACCACTCCTTCGACGTCATCCGCAACGACGGCGCCAACCGCCTGTGGTACCAGCGCCTGCACCGCCACCTGGCTCGAGGCTTAGGCGGCGGCAACCTAAGCGCGGTTCTCCAGCTGCCCAAGAGGATCGCCGCTCTGGGGCCAGGCGCGGCGGGCGGCGCCGCCGGCTCTTCGCTGACTACGGCGGGCACAAGGGAGCCCGAGGTCTCGAACTTGCCGCTCGAGGCGGGCGAGGCGCTCGTGCTGCGGCAGGAGGAGGTGCACCGAAGCGACCAGCGCGACCTGCCGCGCCAGCAGTGGCGGCTCGCTCTCGGCTTCAAGGTTATGGAGCGCGGGCCAATCGCCCGCCGCCTCCTTGGCGCCGGCGACCCCTTCCGCCGCGCGCAGAAGCGGTGAAGCGTGTGCATCCTGTCGCTCTGTGGGCCTCGAGAGGTGCGTGCTCATGGATTGTGGACATGCGTGTAGGTGGCGCTGCGTCCTCTCGAACGACGAGCTCCCGGACTTGTACGGCCTAGCGAGGGCGGGCGCATGCAGCGACGAGCTTCGGGAGCTGGACCGAGACGGCTGGCTGGACATGGGGGCGGGATGGTTCGCAAAGGGCGACAGTAGGCACGTGAAGGCGGGGATTCGGGTCATGGCGGATGGTTCGGGAGGCTCTGCCAGAGGAACAGGTCTCTAGGGGCCGCTTGAGCGGCAGTCTTAACTACGGCCGACGTACTCTCTTCTCTCACGCCCTGTATCTTCACGATCTGCGTGTGTGTAGACACACAGTTCAGTCTAGGTTCCCGCGGTGTCATGCAAAAAAATGATGCACAAGACGGTGTACACCCGGACACCCGCATCCCCCGCTCCTCCTCATGAATATCCCACCTCGCAACTGATCTCGTTCGCGCGCCGCATCTTGAATTCAATGCGCGCACACGGGGCCCAGCAAACCAGCAATCAGCATCATCGCACGAGCCACTGCGGCTGATGAGGCGCTCGTGGGAATGGAATGCGCGTCGCAGAGGCTACCCTCACCGCCTCTGCCATCATCGCATCGTTGTCAGGGTAGTATCCCAGACCCAGATGGCCGATACGGTACACGTAGCCGGGCTGCTGCCCTCGGAAGTGCGATGACGGCTGAAACGGCAGTCCCGCCCCACCATCGCAGGATGGGACAGGAATTTCGGTTTGGGCGTCGTACGCTTCTGCTGCTGCCACTGTGGCTACCAACGCCGCCTCCTTGTCCGCTTCTGCTTCCGCGCGAGCCGCCGCCACCGCCGCCGCTTGGTCCGCCTTTGCCGTCGCACGCACTGCCGCCAACGCTGCCGCCTGGTCCGTTTCTGCTTCCACGCGAGCCGCCGCCACCGCCGCCGCCACCGCCGCCGCCACCGCCGCCCTGTTGCTCCTCTCTGCTGCCGCCCGCGCCACCATTGCAGCGGCCTTGTCCGCTTCTGCCGCCGTCAACGCCGCTGCCAGCACCGCCTCATCTGCCTCTGCTGCCACCCGCACCGCTGCCACCGCCGCCGCCTTTTTCACCTCGGCGAATCGAAGCGCGCCGCGGTTCAGGCTCTCCTCATGCAGGCGCCGTGCGATGAGACGCGACTTGGTCACCGCAGGCGCGTCGAGCACCTGCGCCTTGTACGCTCGGAAGGCCGCCTGCACCCGTGCAGCCGACCTCTCGCGCAGCAGCCACGCCCGCTCGAGGACGGCGGCGCGGCGGCGCGCAGAGGCGGAAAGCTTGATGGCCGCTCCCCGCGCTGCAACGAGTTGCCGCGTTGCGAGCCACTTGCGCATGGCGGCCTGAATGTCCGTCGCCATGAGCCGCTCGGTCTTGTAGCGCGACGCCACGGCCTGGCCTCGCCACATGGCCTGGACGTGGATGCAGCTCTGCAGGAAGTTTGCGCTGGCGCGGAGCGTAGGCGCCTCGCCGCCCTTCGCCACGGTGGTCGCCTCGGCCGTAGCCAGCTGCAGGTCCATGCGCACCTTCTCGAGTGCGTGTGCGCGCTGCTGGGCTGCCATCATAGCCTCCATTTGCTTGGGGCGCTCGGCCATCTGCCGCTGCTGCTGCATGAGCAGCGAGACGTCAACCGAGGTTGGCTCTGCCGTGTATTGCGGCGAGAGTGAGGCGGGGGGCTCTGAGGAGGTGCTCGTCCCAGCCCAGGCGTGCCCGACCGCGGTCCACGACGAGCTGAGGCCGTCGCCGACGGAGCTGTGGGGATTGCCTGCGGCCTCGGCCGCATACTCGTGCGCACCCATTGCTGGCTCAGTTGCGGGGAGTGTTGCGGGAGTGTGCAGGAGCCACGAGGACGCTCGAGTTTTGGCAGGACTTCTAGCCGGCGCCGAGTTTGGATCTTATTACAGATTTACCACAATTTACTCCCTCCCATAAGTTAGCTCTTCGCGGATTTCTGTTTGGGTGTACGTACTTTTAGCTTACTCTGAGACGTACTTTTAGCTTACTGGGAGAAAAGGGAGAGGGGTTTCTGAGTGTATGTTGTTTGATGAGTAGTACAAAGGTACACTAGTTTTCCGCACAACACTTGCACGGGATCGCGGCGAAATTCTTTTCCGTTGTTGTAAAAGTCTTCCCCCTGCCTGGTCTATACAGTACAGAGAGAGAGATGTTTTGTTGTTTTCTATACATAAATAAAATGGACATCCCAAGAAAGAAAGAAGCTAAGGGAGGGACATCCCAAGAAAGAAATAAAGAAAGAAAGCCGACATTGCAAGGGAGGGATGGGAGGACGGCACGCCGCCACCACACAGGGATTTTAAGGAGAGGAGTGGGTGCATGTCATGTCATTAAGTCCAAGGTCAACGGGATGGCAGGTAAAGAAAGAAAGAATTCTTAAAATACAAGCAGCACACTGGCACGACAAGGGCGCGGACTGGCGCAAACTGGGGGCATGCCTGTAACCATGTTCCCGTCCTCGTCAGACCCAGACGAGGCCGGCATCGATTACTGCCGCCAGTACGTCGCTGCCCAGCTCGCTGCCGGGGCCTCTCCACAACAAATCCTCTCATCGTTTGGCGTCGAAGCTGCTGAGGCTGCGACAATCGGAGACGCTGCTGAGGCTGCCGAGGGCCAGGCCGGCGAAGCGCTGGTGCGTCGTGTGCTCGCGCAGGTCCGTGCGGTTCAGGACGAGGCGCTGCCGCGCGCGCTCATGGCTGCCGTGCACGCCGGTCAAACCGCCGAGGCGCTGGCGCTGATGGAGGCGGGCGCTCCGTGGGACGCCATCGACTCGTTCGGCCACTCCGCGGGAGCGATTGCCCTGAGGGACGGGAACACAGCGCTGCTCGACGCGCTCCTCGAGGCGGGCAGCAGCAGCGTCCTCTGGGAGGTCGACCGCGCCTCGCGAAGCGAAGCCGTCACCGCTGCCACCGACAGCGGGACAGCCGCCGACCGTGACGATGCTGCTGCTACCGCCGGGCCTGCCGAGGCTGCTCACGAGGCGTGCTTCGGCCACTCGCTCCACTCGGACTTCCTCCAGCAGCGCCTCCGCTTCGAGGAGGGCCGGCTGATGGACGAGCTCGACAGACCGGTGAGAGATGTGGCCGAGATGCGGCCGAGATGCGGCCGAGATGCGGCCGAGATGTGGCCGAGATGCGGCCGAGATGCGGCCGAGATGTGGCCGAGATGTGGCCGAGATGTGGCCGAGATGTGGCCGAGATGTGGCCGAGATGTGGCCGAGATGTGGCCGAGATGTGGCCGAGATGTGGCCGAGATGCGGCCGAGATGCGGCCGAGATGTGGCCGAGATGTGGCCGAGATGCGGCCGAGATGCGGCCGAGATGTGGCCGAGATGTGGCCGAGATGTGGCCGAGATGTGGCCGAGATGTGGCCGAGATGTGGCCGAGATGTGGCCGAGATGTGGCCGAGATGTGGCCGAGATGTGGCCTGGACACGAGACTCTGATGGGCGAGCTTGACGGGCCGGGGAGGGAGAGAGGGATAGCGGGCTGCTACCCCCATTGAGATTCGTCGAGCTGCGTGCAGGTGATGATGGCGTGGGAGGCGCCGCTCATGGAGGCGCACGCGGCCGCCCTCTGCCCGGAGGAGGGCGGGGCGCGCGTGCTCAACCTCGGGTTCGGGCTCGGGCTCGTGGACACGGCGCTGCAGCGGCGCCGCCCCGCCTCGCACACCATCGTCGAGCCGCACGCCGACGTGCTGCTCGCGATGCGGCGAGGCGGCTGGCTCGAGCGGGCGGGCGTCACTGTCCTGCAGGGCACGTGGCAGGGCGTGCTGCCGCCGCTGTGCGACGAGGCGGCGCACACCCTCGCGGCGCCGTGCGGAGAGGCAACTGTCCAAGCGGCGTGCGGTGTGAGCAGGCGGACCCGCCCTTCGACGCGATCTTCTTTGACACCTTCGCCGAGGGCGGCGCATGTAGCCGCGCCCTCGCCCGCACCGGCAGAGGCGTGAGGCGGAGAGCTGTCAGCAGGAGCCGACGAGCTCTTCCGCTTCCACGAGCTGCTGCCCGGCCTGCTCCGGCCCGGAGGAGTCTACTCGTACTTCAACGGCGCCGCCTCCCACCCTACCGCACACCCCCTCACCGCACCCCTCCCTTGACGCTTGCCCCGCCGTGGACGCAGGCATCGCCTCGCACGACGCCTTCCTGCACCGCGTCTACTGCGAGGCCGCACGACGCCACCTGCACTCGCTCGGCCTGACCGCCACCTTCGAGCCCGTCCGGGTGTCGGTGGCGCCGGGCACGTGGGAGGGCGCAGAGGCAGGCCGTAACTGGTGGGCCCTCGAGCACTACTCCCTGCCGGTGTGCGTGAGGCGGCGGAGGGAGGAGGGGGAGGCCGACGGCTGAGCCAATGTGTGCGTAGGTTTTTGAGAACAGAGATGGCTTGTCAAAGAGATAAATATGATCAAAACAAAAGACGTAAAAGAAGCGCGGGCGACAGTTCTCAGTTGATCGCGAGCGCGCACGATCGTACCCCCGTCAGCCGTGTCACACACACGCGCTCACACATACACAGACACAAATGTCCCGCCGCGGGCGCTCTGCGGGCACGCTCTGCTCTATATCCACGAACGGCCACCTCACCCCTTCCTCAGGTAGTCCCCTCGGACGGTCCTCTCGAAGCCGGTGGGCGGCGGCTGCGCCTCGCACCGGCCGTGGCACCGCCCCTGCAGCATGTCGTGCGGCAGGTAGCGCTGGTCGGGCGGGATGGCGCCGCGCCGAGGGGTCGGCTTCGGCCGCTTGGGGAAGCCGGTGAACTCGGTGCCAACCTCGTACTTGCGTCGCAGCTGGCGCAGCGTTGTCACCTCTGGGCAGTGCCGCTTCATGAACCGCCAGGTGCGCTGGTTCCAGAACCAGCACTTGTGGCACGCCATCGGGACAAAGGAGCGCTCGGGGCACTGCTGCGGCGACGGCAGCGGCGTCGGCTGCCACTTTCGCTTCGTCGTGTGCGGCTGGTACTTTGGGCCGGTGTAGAAGTTGGCGGTGCAGCCGGAGGGGAGGGGTGGGTACCCTTGCGGCGCCTCGCCAGGCAGCACGTCCATGTGCAGGTCGTACTCGACGCCGAACTCGACCGCCTCGAAGCGCGACGGCCGGCGGACAGTGATGCCGGCGTCGCCACACCTCGCCTCGATCCGCTTCCACATGGTGCCGAGCTGCTGGTCCTCGAACTTGCCGGCGGCGGGGGTGATGCAAGCGGGCGTGTTGGACATCCGGATCGAGAGGGCGCGGTCGCGCAGCGAGAAGCCGCCGCAGCCGACGGACCACTGCGAAGGGTGGTCTGACGTCATCCACCACGGCCCCGACATTGGGGGTCCGACGTAGTCGTACTGCACGAAGTGGTCGATGGAGCGGGTTGCGTTGCCACACATGACCGAGTCGGGCTGGAAGACGAGCGCCTTCTTGCCCCGCACCGCCTCCCAGAAGGTCGGGATGAGCATCATCGATGAGAGCCGCACCCAATCCTCCATGTAGTCGTCGCCGAGGTCGGTGAGCGAGAGAGCGCCGCTCGAGATCTCCTCCGCGAAGAGGGTCGCGAGCTGCGGCTTGGCTGTCGGTCCTGTGAAGATCTGGACGGGCCAGCCGGTGGCGCGGCGCACGCTCTGCACGACGAAAGACTGCAGCTCGGGCCGGTAGGTCGTGTCGACCATGATCGCGACCGCGGGCGGGACGGGCTCGGGTGCGGGCGGCAGCTGCAGGGCAGCGAGGAACTCGACGTCCTCCTGCGGCAGCATCGGCTGGCCGGAGAGAGCGCAGTGCGTCTTGTACCTGCTCGGAGGCAAGTGGAGGTCGCACCCGACCAAGACGGCGGCGAACGACTTGACGCGGCCTCGGCACGGGTCGCGCGGGAAGTTGGCGTCTGCGATCGGGAGGCAGCAGTGCGACTGGCCGAGGCACGCCTCCTCGACCACCCTCTTCGTCTCGTCGAGGTGGCAGGCCGGGTCCGCCGCCAGAGAGCCGTTGGGTTGCCGCACCGGCGCGCCGTACGAAGCGAAGGACACCTGCCTCACCCACGTCCCGCCGCTGCACTCCACCGCCAGCGCGCCTCCCTGTGGCACCACGTGCACCGACTCGAGGAACCGATCAGCAGCAGCAGACCTCGCCGCCGGCCGGTCTCGGGGGGAGGCGCTCGCGGCAGCATACTTGGCCCTTGCGGCATCCCTCGCCTCCCTCCTCCCGCCCCTCGCCTCGGCGACAGTCTTCGCCCTCGCCACGCGTAGCCGCAGCCGCTCCGACGGCGCGCCGCGCACGCGGAGCCTGCCCGCTTGGCTCGCGTTCCGGCGGCCCTGCCTCCTGCCCCTAAGGCCGTGTCTCGGAAGTGTCTCGCCCTGGCCGCCGTGCAGCGCCGCGCGGGCACCACCCATCTCCTTCGCGACCATCACCTCCTTCCTCCACTTCCTCGGGCGGTTCCACCAAGGAGGTGGGGGTGGAAGTGTTGTCTCATGCGTGGAGGCGGTGGCGGCGGTCGGTGACGGCTCGGAGCCTGCCGCTCGCCTGGGCCGGTGCGGGCCTCCGGACGGCTTGTCCAAGGGCGGCGGAGGTGCCGACGACCAACCCGGCGAGGGCGTGGCGAGCCACGCCGAGAGGTCGGCGGCCTGCAGCGAGGCGGCGACCAGCAGCGCCGCGGCGACCAGCGTCATGACGAGGGCTGCGGTGCAGGACAGGACCGCCCGGACGGGAGCAAACGAGGACTGCTGCTCGACTGTCGCGCTGCTGCTCGATGGACCCTTCAGCAGACTGGTGCGCTCGTTGGCGCGCGGCGCCATCGAGACTCGCTTTAGTATGCAGCCTCGACCCAAGTGAGCCTCATGGAGAGCTACGAGTATGGAGGGGCACAACAGCGCCAAGTTCTGTCGGCGTTTTGTTTTCTTTCCCCTTAGGAGACGGAGGGAAGGAGGAAGGGCGACGTGGCATGGATGGATGAATGAGGACCCGAGAGCTCAGCCCGAGAGCGGACGAGCGAGCATGCGGACGTTGCCGGACGAGGGACGTGGAGGATGGCTAGCCCGCACACTCCCCTTCCCGGAATGCGGAAAGCTCCTGCATGGTGACGTTCTGTGCCGTTCCTCCACCCTCCTTGGCGCGAGTCCATTTTGCTGGGCGTGTTCTCTTTTCCATACACCCGTGTGTGTGTCCCTTTTCGGTTGGAGCAATTGGAGTTGGTGCATGAGTTGATTGTTTCTTTTTTGTGTGTTGTGCGAGGGAGTTTTGTTGTAAGATTCTTTTTTCAATCATGCGCCTGCCTTTTTCTCCGCGTTTTCAGCTCACGTTTTCTTCTATATGCCTACGAGCTATGTCACTGACCTCGCGTCCGCGCTCCCGTTGTCGCCCGCACCTCCGGGTGATGCAAGCCACTGGCTGCGGCGCGCCCCCCCCTCTCACGCAGCTTCGGCCGCGGGCCGCTTCTGAGGTCGGCACCCTCGCGCCGGTACCTGACACTCGTCTGCTGGATCAGCGCCATCGTCTCGAGGTCCCACGAGACGTGCGTGTATCCGTGGCGCATCGCGAGGCCGCGGACTCGGCGAGGGAGGATCGCCCACGGTACCATCAGCTGCTCGGGCAGCGTTCGCGGGTCGGCCACGAGGCAAGGACTGGGCAAAGCGGCGGCCAAGGATGGGGCGGGAGCTCTCGAGCTGGCCAGAGCAGCGAGGCTCCGGGCGCCAGCCGCCTCCTCCGGAGGAGCCTGTCCCCGCGCGCCAGTCCCGCCGTTGCGTCGGCGCTCCCGGCCGCTAGTGCCGCCGCTGTGGATCCCCTCCCGGCCGCTGCTGCGCGTGGCTGCTCCTCCCGAACCGTGCCGCTCCGAAGAGGGACCCCTCTGCTGCGGCAGAGGTCCAGGTGCGGGTGGCCGTCTCCGGTTGGCGACGACGCGCCGCGTGGCGTCCTTCCACGCGCGCTCCTCCACGCGCGCCTTGCGGATCTGGTGCTCCAGCGCCGCCTGGATCTGCTTTTCGCGCGCCCTCTCCCGCGTGATGGCCGCCCGCTCAGCACTCTCCGCCAGCCGGTGCCTGGCCCGCGCCCGCTGCAGGGCGCGGTGCTTCGCCTCCGCCTTGACGGTCGCGAGGTCCTTCGCAGAGACATCATCCTCACTCGCTCCGGGCGGCTGAGCCTTGGCGCTCGGGCCTCGGCTCCGGGTAGCGCTCTCTCCTCTGCCCCACGGGTGCGGATGCGACGCCCTGACCACGGAGGACGAGCCGCAGCGTGCCACGCGTCGCTTGGCGTCGTTCGCTCGGCGTGCCGCCGCGAGCTCGCTCATCTCGTCGCGCCACGCCTTTACTGTCGCGGCGTCGACGCCCCCCATCTCGCCCGCCTGCAACGCCTGCCACGTCTCGCGCTTGAGGGTCGAAGTGCGCACCGGCACCACCTCAGAGGCCGCCGCCCTCGTGCTGGTCGCGGGGCCGCTGGGCGGCGTGGCCTCCGGTTGGGGCGCGGCCGGGCTCGGCGACGGCGATCCGAGCGCCCCAGACGCGCGGGCCGCCTCGAGCGTCTTTGCGCGCAGCTGCGCCGCCTGATGGGCGTGCTCGCGCAGGTTCCGCATCTGGCCGAGCGAGACGGCTTCAAGCGCAGCGTGCGAGAAGTGGAGCTCCGCGCTCGAGGCCTTTACCAGGGCGACCCGCACCGCCTTTCTGGCCTGGCAAGCGGCGAGCTGGGCAAGCGCCCTCTGAAGGCTGAGCTGCAGCGCCGACGCGGCCTTGCCCTCCCTCGCCCGGGCGCCCTTCGCCCGCAGCCCTTCCACCTGCCTCTCGGAGGCCTCAACCGCCTCAGACGCCTTCCTGGCGGCCAAGCGGAGCTTTGGCGCCTCCGCCTCGAGTCTTGACATGATAAGCCGCACCTCCTGCCGCTCTCGCTCAAGGTCCGCCCTCTGGAGCGCCTCGCGCTGCCTCTCCGTCCTCCTCGCAGCCTCCGCCTCCCGCCTCGCAGCCTCCGCTGCCTCGGCGGCCGCCCGGGCACGCGCCTCCTCCGCCCGTGCCGCCTCCTCCCGCTTTGCCCTCGCAGCTTCGGCCGCCATCTCCATGGCCTTTGCCGTCACCGCCGCGAGCGACGCGTCCGCCTCTGCCTTGAGTCGCAACGCTCGCGTCGCCGCCTCTCTCGCTGCCGCCGCCGCCGCTGCCGCCGCCGCCGCCTCGCCTTGCGTGTGCGTGGCCACTGCGCGCCTCCGAACCACGCGGCGTAAGCGAGCCGCCGCCTGGATCCTCCGGCACGCGCCGCGCTGCTCGACCATGCGCCTCTGCGCCACCCTGCGCCGTAGCGCCGTCTGCATCAGTAGTGCGGCGCTGTGAAACTTGCGCCGCTCCGCGATCGCCTCGGCCAGGCTACTGGCCCACGGCCGATTCTCCGGAGGGGGCTGGCGACGAGCCAAAAGGCGGCGCGCCCCAGCCTGGATGATTAGGGTGGCGTCCAGCCGCGCCAGCGCCTCGAGGCTCTCCTGTGTCGCTCTGTGCATCGAATAAGCGCTCTCCCGTCGCTGCCCGAATTCGGGCATTGATCCCCAGAGACAACTACATATGATCGTCCTAGGAGCCGGCATCACCCTCACAGCCAGCATCGCCTTCTCCGCCGGTGCTCCCGCTCTCCCACTGGCCGTTGCGACGTTGGTTGGCGTGTGAAAGACAGCGAGAAAGTCCTTCGCCGGAGCATGAGGTCGGCGGACGGCTAAAGAGCTAAGTGGAAGGAGTACCGTCAGTGTACCGTCAGTTGTGGAGTGTAGCATCCAAGGCTCGGTAGCCACACAAGAGAGCGGACTGCTGCGCGAGACTCTTCCATTTTCTCATCGAGTCGTCCGTACCGAAAATACACTTCATATTACAACAGCGCTCACATCGTCAGAGCTCGTCTGCAAACTCGTCGTACTCCTCCTCCGCACCGCCCTCGGCGCCATCGCCCAGCCTCCCGTCCCCGCCTGCCTGCTCGAGGAGGTCAGCCTCTCCCCCGCCGAGATCGGCCTGCCCTCCGCCCGCCAGCTCGCCCCCCTCCCCGGCCCCGCCCCCCTCGCCCGCCGGGCCGTCGAAGCTGAAGTCCGCCTCCCCGCCGAGCGGCTCGCCTACGCGGGAGGAGGAGCCGCCCTGAGCCTTCTCGGAGCCCTCGGGCCGGCGCGCCTCTCTCGAGCGGCTCGCCGCCGTCCAGCCGCACGAAGAGCTGCGAGAAGCCCCAGTCGAGGAAGAGGATGGCGAGGCACGACAGCACCTGCTCACAGGACGAGGTGTGAAGAGAGACGCCCTCCGCGGCCGACGACGGAGGCGCTCAGGGCGGCAGAGCACCACCGCCGACGTGATGACGAGGGGCACGTGCCGCGGCTGCAGCCTCCGCCGGCTGCGCGAGCAGAGCTGCGAGATGCCCATCGTGCACAGCATGAAGCCGAGGGAGCGGTACACGTTGACCAGCGGCGCGAACTTGAGCAGGTGCTGCCCCTCCTGCTCACAGCGAGTTTGTGAAGAGACGCCGCTCACAGCGAGCTCGAGCAGGCGCTGCAGCCACCGGTCGCTCGAGCAGCAGCGGCCGCATCTCGCGCCAGTACTCGTCGGGAGATATCATGTCGAACCCTCCGCCTCCGCCGACCACCGCCCCCATCAGCAGCGCGACGGCGGTGCCGAGCAGCGAGAGGAGCGGCGCGGCGAGAGCCTGTTCACGGCTGGGGCGCGCGTGAAGAGCCGCGCCCGGGTGGCGAGGTGTGTGCGTGTGCTGGTGCGGAGTGCCGCGGCGAGCAGGGCGGGGAGGAAGGTCCACGCAGTCGGCCCGACTCCGAGCACCTTGAGCAGGTCGACCTGCGAGGTGGAGGCCATCATCGCGACGTCGCCTGCGACGCACCACTCACCCATGAAGCGTCGAGCGCAAGCCGGAGGAGCAGGCCGTCCTACCAGCCTCGCCGGCGTACGAGCCTCCGATCCGGCCTGCGAGGAGGAGCGCGGTGAGCAGCGGGCCGAGCTCGATCGTGAAGACGGACCCTGCTCCACAGCGCGGGCTGTGAAGAGACGCGCTCTCCGCAAGGAGCCTAGGCCTCGCGAGGCTGCGCCGATGGCGAGCGCGTAGAGCTTCCGCTTGGCTGCGGCCTCGTTCTGCTTGACGACTCCGTCGACGAGTTGGAGGATGAGGGGCAGCGCGGGGTTGCCCGCGAGGTAGCGCGTGAGGAAGGTAGCGATGATCCGCACCTGCGAGGCGGGGGAGGTGGGGGGGAGTCGGCGGGAGGGGGGTTCGCGGGAGAGACGGAGGCGAGGAGGAGGCGCCACAGACCACGTCTACCCGCTGCAGCATGTCGGCGAGGAGCATCGAGAGCGCGGCGCCGGTGGCCGCGAACGCCATCGCGATAAGCGGCGCGGAGATGAAGAAGTAGTCGGCGAACCGGCGCGAGGCGCGAACCTGCCGCACCGCCAGAGTGTCGCCGAGAGAGCGGAGAGATGTGTGCGAGAGAGCGGAGAGATGTGTGCGAGGGAGAGAGAGAGAGAGAGAGAGAGAGAGAGAGAGAGAGAGAGCAGCGCAGCGCACGGCGAAGCGCAGTCCCGACAGGTCTGCGTCTTGCCGCGCCGCGTCTCCGTCCTCGGGCCTAGACAGCGGTGGAGCCTTCCCTGAACCTTCCGCCCGCCCCTCCCAGAGGCGGCCTATGCCCCGCCTCGCGCCTGGCTCGCTCGAGGGAGACGGTGGCCGCAGGGGAGAGGGCGGCGGCGCGCTCGGCCATGTGCGAGATGAGGAGGAGGGAGATGCCTGCTCACGGCGGCATCCGTAAAGAGAGGCATGTCGCACTGCGAGAGGAGGCGGAGCGGGAGAGCGATGCCGTGCTCTGCGGCGACCCGCTTGAGGAGGGCGGTGATCTCCCCCGCCACGGGAGGGTCGAGCCCGACAAACGGCTCGTCCAGAATCACGACGCGCCTGAGGCGGAGGCGCCGCAGCGTGCTCAAGCCACCGCCCACGCCGCGGAGAGGCCTCTCCGTCTCAAAGTCGGTCACAGTGGCTCTCTGTCCCGTAGGGTCCGCACACTTGCGCTGCGCGAGGATCTGGGCGAGGGCGGCGCGGCGCAGCATGCCGCCGCTGAGCTCGCCCGGCATCTTTGACCCGTCGGCCGAGGGAGAGAGACCCACAGCCTCGAGCGCCGCCGCGATCGCGTCCGAGTCTGCAGGCAGGGCGGCGGCCTCCGCTGCGAGCGCGAGGTTGGCGGCGAGCGAGAGTGAGTCGATGAGCACGCCCTTCTGGAATAGGAAGCCGATGCGCTGCGCGGCGGCGACGCTCGGATCCCACTCCATGTGGATCTCTGCGCCGGGAAGCTTCGCGAGCCCGGCGAGGTGCAGGCTCGTGTACGACTTGCCGGCCCCGGAGGCGCCTCTTAGCCAGACTACCTCGCCCGGACAGAGCTCGAATGCGAGCTCCTCGTTCAGGAAGGGACAGGAGTCGGATGTGCGCCTGGCTACGACTTTGAGCACGGGCCGACGGGCAGGCATGCTGTCGATGGGCTCTTTGGACAACGAGGGCCGGAAAACGAAAAGAAGAATTTTCGTCCACGACACTAGGCACGGGACTGGCGCGCACTGGCACTAACACAGGTACACCACGGGAGCCGCCTAAGCGACTCCCGCGAGGACGGCGAGGCACTTAGCTCCGTGCACTCGACCGCCCTCGCCGCAGGCAAGCTCATTCACAATCTGCTCTGCGATGGCCGTGTGAAGAACGACTGAGATGCGCTGCTTCTGCAGCCCCAGCCAGCTCTTGGTGGTCCAAGTCACCTCATCGAGGTACTGGGCCCGCGTCAGCTTGTTCTGCAGCGCGTTCGCCGCCTTCCAGAGGATCGCGCCGACCCCCTTCCCGAACCCACCGAACGACTCGAACAGCAGCAGCTGCACGTCGACGTCCTTGTCCTCCCTGGCGTAGCGATACTCGCCGCCATGGGACGGTATGCGGCGATCGCCGCCCACCACCCTGCCCCCCTAGTATGCCATCGACCCGTCCCCTGCCCCCTTCTCGCCCTTGCTCTTCTTCTCCCCCTCCATGCCCTCGCCCCCGTACCCCTCACACTCCCCTCCCCCCCCCTCTCCCTCCCCCTCGCCTCCCTCTCCCTCCTCGCAGTAGGGCCCATGCCCCACGACCATGTTCCGGTAGAACGCCTCGGTGTTGCCGAAAGCGACAAAAGCGCGCCCTTCCGACCGTGCTCCCCGCTGCTGGTGAGAGGGCAGACAACCTTGACATCGCCAGAAAAGCGCCTGCCGCCCGTGCCAATGTTGAACGCGTCCACGTCGGGTTGTTTGTTGTAACTATGACCGAGGTGGTTCGTCGGCTCCATTCGCACAGCCGTGCCCCACGCGGCGCGTAGGGCGAGGATGAGGCGCTGAAGAGTACACTTGTGTCTGGTGTTGTGGCTCTGCTGCGGCACGTTGACAGCAGCATCGCCGAACTCGTCGTGGGTCTTCTTGTTCCGAGTCTTCTTGCCCGCCGCCGCGGCCTGGCAGGCCACGTCGAGGGGGAGACCCAGGCGGCGCTGCACCGAAAGACGCATCGCCCAAGTCTCCATTCGCATGTCATCCCGCATGGGGATGGCGTTGAGGAAGGCGCCGGCGCCGTCCTGGCTCACCGCCACGAAGCGGACCGCCTCCCGCCAGGCCGCGTGCCTCGCCCGTTCCCTGCCCTCGGCACGCGCCTTGCCCCTCTTGCCACGAGGAGCAGACCGCGATCCCGCGGAGCCCTCCTCAGCGAGCTCCACGGCGAGGTCGCGCCAGTTCCTGTTGTGGACCACGGTCGTGAAGCGCCGCTGGGTCATCCGTCAAAATATCTGAAGATCTGTCCGGGAGATTCTCCCCAAACCTTGCTCAGCTGATCCAGCACGGGCCGTAGGCCAGGCCTGGGCAAAGAAACCAGTACCTCAACCGGCTTCCCTGAGCGTCACAGCTCGGTGATCGCGCTGGCCGGACACCACTGTAACGTCCGTTCCGGGCATTTGAACGCGACCTTCGGGGGCAAAGACATGGGCTCTATGGCTCAGACTGGACTCCTCTTGGTCCCTTCTGATGCCCTAGGCCACACCTGGGCCTTACCTGGGGTTCTAGGGGCCGGCCAGGGTTTGCCTCCCTAAAGGGGCCCCCGAAGAACCTTAACAAGAAAACAACTCTCTCTCACATGGCACAGCACTCTCAGCAGACAGGCTCGACACCGGTGTGTGCGCGGACTGGCGCGCGTGCTAGCACCAACACGCTAACGCAGGCAAACCACCGCAGCCCCGAGCGAGACAAGAAGCTAGAAGGAGAAAAAGAATTCAAGTTTTGGCGGACCTGTTGTTTAGTGCCAGTGCGCGCCAGCGCAGTCCCGTGTTTGTGTGAGAATCAAACAAGAATTTTCATGATTCGCGCGCTCGAAACTCAGTTTGAAACTGAAATTGACCACGAACCAGGCCCGCGCGCGCCGCGCACCGGAAGATGCAACATCTTATCAACTCGTCTTTGCACTTTGGTTTCTCTCTCTCTCTTCCACGTCGGAGAGACAAAGGTGTTGTTTGTGAGAGGTCGCGCCTCTCGCCGATAGGAGCGTGCGAGACGCTGTGCCCGCGGTGCAGCGCGGTCGCGAAGCGGTGCCGCCGGGCGGACTGGCCTTCTCCCGCCGACACTTCACGTGTCGGTGGCACCTCATGCGGCGGTCTACGTGAAGAGGTCGTCCTCCTCTGGAGCGTCGAGGTCCATGTACGACTTGATCGGCCGGCTGCTGACCAGCGCGCCGGCGGGCGGCGGGCGCGGCGCCGCCGAGCCTCCCACGCCGCGCCCCGGGCGCGGGTTGGGGCAGTCCCGGGCAAGGTGCCCGGACTGGCCGCAGTTGAAGCAATCCCGGTCGCGCCCGCCGCCGCCACCGCCTCCGCCTCCGCCCTTTCCTCCGCCGCCTCCGCGCCGGTCGTCGCCGCCTCCGCGCCGGTCGTCGCCTCCGGAGCGGCGCTCGTCCGAGAGGCGGCCTCCTCCTCCGCGCCGCTCGTCGAAGCGAGGCGCGCGAGGCGAGGGCGGCGAGGGCGGCTCGCGGAGCGGCTCGAGCGCGCGCAGCGCCGAGACGCGTGCGTCAGCGGCAAGGAAGTAGGCCTTGAACTTTGGCTCGAAGGCGGCCGCAACCTCGGCGTCGAGCTTGGACGCGTGCCTGGAGGGGAAGGGGGAAGGGGGAAGGGGCTGGGGGAGGGGGGGGGGGGCTCAACACGCCTCGGGGGGCCGCTCGCCCTCTCGAGATCTCTAGGGGAGGCGGCGGGGGCAGGCTAGGGGGGGGGGGGGAGGGGGGAACTTTCCGCCCCCTTGTTGTCCAAGTGCTTCCCCACAAAGGCTGGCCCTCGGAAAACCTTTCCGGAAAGGGGGCAACGGTACTTCCCCTCCTCGATCTGGAGGCAGTTGGCGGAGTAGAAGGCCTCGCCCGCCGCGACCGCCGCCGCAGCAGTCTCCTTGTCCTGCTGGCCGAGCGCCTGCGGCGCGCACAGAGGCGACAGTCAGCTGAGGCAAACAACCGGCAACGGGGGAGCGGTGGCGGCAGCGGTGCGGGGGAGCGGGGAAGGGGATGCGGTGCCTGCAAGTACGCCTGGTGCGCGGCGCACCGCTCGAGCGCAGCCTTCGCGACATCGGGCGTGGAGCGCTCGGGGCGCGGGAAGGCGGCGGCGGCCCACTCGCCTGCGGGGAGGCTTCCAGGAAGGCTCCGGGAAGGCTCCGGCAAAGGCTCCGGGGGGGGGGTGGGCGGCGGCCGCCCGAGGAGGAGACGAGCCCCGCCATATCTCGGGTAGAGATCTCGGCTAGATCTCGCCCGAGGAGGAAATGAGCTCCGCCGGCGAGCCGTGCTGCACCGCCAGCTGGGCCTGCGGGGCGGGGCGTGCGCGCACGTTGGGACTGGGGCGCGCGCGCAGGCGGGCGAGGGAAGGCTGCCGCGGGCGCTGCTGGCGGCGGCGCTGCTGGCGGCGCACGTCAAAGGCGAGGACGCGGCGAAGGTAGAGGAGGAGGAGGTGGAGGCGAGACTCGCACGGCAGCGCCTCGACCGCCTCGCGCCCGATCGCCTCCTCCGCCGCCTCCTCCGCCGTCGGAAGCGCCGCCCGAGCCGCGAGTGCCGCGCAGAGCTCTCGCAGCGGCGGCAGCAGCGCCGCGGCCGACCGCTGCGGGGGGAGGGCGGTGCGCAGCAGGGGCGGCACGCGCTCGACCGCCTTGACGAGCGCCGCCCTCGGCGCCAGCTCCGCCAGCTGAGGCAGCTCCTGCGCCGCCCTCGCCGCCGCCCTCGCCGCGCCTCCCGACGCGTACCCCGCCCACAGCCGCAGCTTGAGCGAGCCGGCGCCCTCGCCGCTTCCGTCGCGATCGGCTCCGATCGGCTCCGCCGCGGCGATGGCGGTGAGGCCGCTCCCCTCGGCGGCCGCGCCCTCCCCCCCCCCCGCGAGGGCGGAGTACAGCGCCGGCAGCATCGGAGTCAGCGAGCCCGGCGTCAAGCCGTCCACCACGACGCTGCCGACGGCCGGCGCGGCGGGGCGGAGCTGGAGCGGCGCGCCGCCGTCCTCGGCGGCGGGAGGCGCCGCGTCAGGGAGGGCCTCGCCGTCGCCACCCGACTCATCCGCCTCCCCGTTCTCCGCCTCTGACCGCCGCTTCTCGCCGTTTGCGCCGAGAGCGCTGGAGGGCGCGGCCGCGAGTCTCGGGCCGAGCAGCGAGCCCTGCTTGAGCTCGGCGACCAGCTGGCGGAGGCTGCGGCGCGCGGCCTCGCGGAAGGCGAGCAGCTCCTCCGCGACCCGCTCCGGGTGGTGCAGCTTCTTGAAGCCCGGCTTTGCGCTGTGCTCCTGGAAGTGACGCAACGCGCCGCCCTCGCCGTCGCCGCCCGGGCTGCGGCTCCGGCTCCGCGCGCGACGCTGCCGCTTGGAGAGCCGGTCGTCTGGCGGGGAGCGGGACCTCGGGCCTCCGCCCCCTCCTCCACCCCCTCGCCACATTGGCAAAGCTGCACGGCGATAAAGGGTTCCACTTTTTGCGTGGTATGGTGTGTTTGAACTGGAGTGGGTAGGCTCGACGCCGTACTCGAGATGTAGCGGACACAAACTCGCCGCCGAGCGTGCCACCGACGGCGTCCCGTCGGAGGTGATGGAGTGTGAGACCTGAGGCTGCGGAGGTGACGCCTGAGGTACCGGTCCTCCGTGCACAGCGACTCAGCCGGCGACCGCCACGGGCTCAGACGAGACCTGTCGACGCGTTCCGGCTCAGCTTCACCGTGGTCCTCGGGCGTCTGTCGACGTCAGGACCACCCATATAGCTCGCGGGTTTTGAGGTCGAGCGAGGCAGAGACACAGCGTCTGCCAGACGCGTGCTACGACGTCAGGCCAGCTTCGAAGCAGCGTGGCCACAACTGACTGCAACAGACTGTCTTCATGTGTCTAGACTCTACCGGTACCGCGGTGCGCTGCCGCGCACATAGGTGCCAGCGCGCTCCGCGCGGTATCTAGCCAGCGCGCTCCGCGCGTGTGTCTAGCTAGCGCGCTCCGCGCGTGTGTCCAGCTAGCGCGCTCCGCGCGTGTGTCCAGCTAGCGCGCTCCGCGCGTGTGTCCGGGTAGCACCAGCGCGCTCCGCGCGCACGATAATCCAGTGCCTACACTTGTAGGCACTGAAAGCTTGTTTCTGCAGCTTGGCCGTCGGGGAGAGGGGGGACGACACTGCTCCAGCAGCGTGCACCTCGATCCTGTACCGTGTTTGTTATGACCCCCCCCAATGAACACATCAGTGAGGGAGGGCGAGACGATCGAGGGGTCCCGTACCACGCGGAATCGACCCCATCCAGTGCTCAAGTGCTCAAGAAAGGCGAAGGAAGAACAGCCTGGCAGCTCGGACTTACTGGACACCAACGCGGGGCCCTGCCCCTACCTATCCCGTCATGGTCGCCGTGTCGGAGAGGGCGTGCAATTGGTTTCCAGACGAGTACACCGTGAAAAAGAAAAAATGAGGCAAAAGTTTCCCGGAAATATCCTATACCCCTGGGCCACGACGAGATGCTGCTCTGCCTCATGCTGCTCTGCCTCAGCACCAGCTCTGCAGCGCTCGCGCTCGCTAGCGGCACTGCGAGGACGGCGCCCGGCGGACTGCTCCAGCACGCCATCGAGCTGCGGGACGCCGGCTTCACCGTCATCCCGGACGCCGGCCTGAGCGCTGAGCTTGTGTCCGACGCTCGAGCTGCCGTCTCGTCGGAGCTCTCTCGCCACCACGACAGGCTGAGCCAGCTTGGGCTGGACCCAATCGAGAGCGACTACGCCTGGATCGAGATCGACAAGCGGCACCGCGGCCGGTATAGCCTCAGGCCGACACAGCGGTCTGCGTGGACGAAGCTCCTGCAGGAGGCGGTGGGTGCCGCGGCTCCGGTGGTGGAGGCGCTCCACTCGCTGCCCGCAAACGGGGACGACGGGATGCTGCCTGAGTACACGCCTCCGTGGTCGCGCGCCCTGCTCGAGGCAGCCTCTTCGCTCCTCCCTCCTCGCCCGGCGGTCGACCAGCTTGGCGCCATCGTGAGCAGCCCCGGCGCAGGGGCGCAGCGCTTCCACGCCGACGCGGGCGACACGCATCTCCGACTCGCGAGGCTGAGCCGGAGGCACCGCCTCTTCAACGTCTTCGTGCCCTTGGTCGACCTCGCAGAGGGCGGCGATGGGACGATGTTCTGGCCCGGCTCGCATCTGGAGCGGAAGCGGCTCGGTTACGAGGCGGCGAGGCTCGACGCGTGCCGCTCGTACCTCCTCGAGCGAGACGCGGCGGCGATGGCGGAGATGGCGGTGCCAGCTTGCCCTGCGGGCGGGCTCATCCTCTTCGACTTTCGACTGCAGCACAGAGGCATGCCAAACGACTCGACGCGGGAGAGGGCCCTCGCGCACGCCGTGCTCGCAACCGGAGGGGCCTTTGACAGGCTCGGCTCCGAGGAGGCGCCCAGCCTGCTGGCCGCTGCAGAGGCGCTGTCGGCAGACCCCGCGGATCGGCGCGCGCAGCTCGAGGCGATCGGCAGGCAGCAGAGCGGCTGGTGGGAGACGCAGCAGACAAACTCCGCGCGGTGATGACCATAGCCGAGCGCGTTGGACCGAGGTGTTAAGGCAGGTCTGTGTGTGTTTGTGACTCAAATATGAAACAAAGGAGGCGCACAGCCGGGGTGTGCACCCTGCACCCCTTCACTAGTGGTAACGTGCGCGGCACCCCCCGCCCAGCGCCCCGAGAGCGGAGGTGACTGAGAGTCATTCGGAGTCATTCGATGGCCAGAGAGCAGAGTGCGATTGTGTGTGTGCGGGAGTTGGTTTGTCGGGAGGGAGGGGCAGGCTGCTCACCCACGTGCACCGGGCCAGTGCTTGCACTTTGAATGCCGTGGGGCTCCTGCCCGTGTCCGGGCGTGGAGATGCGAGGGTCGCCCCCCCCTTGCCCAGCCACCACTTTGTGTGTGTGGAGAAATCTACCTTACCTTACCTTAGTGACTGAGGTGTGGGATCGAGCTTGAC